GTTTGCTTTAAGATGCTTTTGATCCTGTATTCATTAAAACCTGATCCTGCTGCTTCCCACCAGCCCTAATGGTCTGTGAAATTATTTTCCTTTCTCCAAGATGCTGTTAACTCTGCTAGCACCTGCAGAGTAGAGGAGCTCAGAACATTGTCAAAAGTCCTCAGATTTATTCAAACCTGCTTTTCTCCACAAACAAGAATTAATCTTCAATGTTATAACAGCATTCTTCCTTAGTGGAGAAGTGGGAACGGACTGCAACAGAGTCTGAAGGTTTTTATCACTGCTGTTTTCCCCTTCTACAGGTAGAGAGAGATAATTGGACAAAAGACTTGAAAAATCGAGGATAAGATTCACTCGGTATAACAGAGCATGAAAGTATGAATGAGCATAAAGGGCTCAAACAGCTGGGGGAAAAAAAAAAAAGAGGAAGTAAATCCAGTAAGAAAAAAGTAGGGAACAATGAAGCTAAGTGATCTAGTAAAGGAAAAACGTAAAACTGCATTTGCAGTCTGGACCTTGCAGGGAATAACAACAGTTAAGGAAAAAGCAGGATTTTTTAAGGTATCACAAATGAAGAATTTTTCAATCACGTAGCATCAGGATTCATAACTAGATGACAGTTTAGTCTTGTTCTATTTTTTTAATGCTGGTGGAAGAGAGGAGAGCTCTCTAAATTTCTGCTTTCGACACAAAGATTAATACTAGCTGTCAGTATGTACTTTATTGCACAAATTCTAGCAAGTATTATGACTTAAATATTGCTATTCTAGAACATTCTTACGGAACTGAACAGCTTAATGTGGAGCTAATCAGTTCTTTGTTTTTGCCTTCTCATTAGCAATGTCCTGCAATGACTATTATGGCATTAAGTTCCTGCAACCAAAACGGCTGTAACGAGTATTCAGATGTTTAATTTCATTTGAAGATGCACTCAGTTATTGCATAGAAAATTGTTTTCTGCAAGAGTGATTTCAAAACCAAGCGTTCAGGAGCCATGAAAACCAACCAAAAGTAAGGCTGTCCATACAATATTTTGGTCCTATTGTAGAGATCTGTATGCTGTAGTCTATAATTGTACGATCACGTTATCTTTAACCTGATTTCCTAAGGAGACAAAGCTTATGTTGTTTGATATTCCTATCTTCCCACCCCATCCCTCAATAACTTCTAATTCAGCAGTGTTTTCCAACCAAGTTAAAACAAAGAAGTAGGGGCCTCAAAGATCACTGCATTATACCACATTCCGTCAAAGTAGGGGTTGCCAATTCCAGCGTTTACAGAACTACTTTTTTCACTGGACTGTGCTATCCCTTTCTATGAGTGGGTAAGTTTATAGATAATGAAATGAAATGTTGCATCCTGTATGGGTTCCCAAGATTTATGTAACTCACGCTTCCTAAAATATTTACTGACTGCAAAAATAATTAATTTCTTCCTGGGCATTTCCTCAATTATCAGGTAATGGTGTCTTGCTACTTAGAAATATTAACGAAGCTATCTTAACCAGTACCTCTGTGATTTTAAGTGATAATATGCTTCATGCAATATAGACAGAGGGAAAAAAAAAAAAGACATCTTAGGATTTATCAAACCAGAGAAGACAAAGCTCACGTCAAAACTATGCACTAATTTGAAGTGCCCAACTTGATACATCTCAGGCCTCGTTATTCAGAGAAGCTGGTAATTCAGTTGTGCTTTGTGTGTTCAGATGAGAGTTTTACATCTCTCCAGCTGTGGCTGTGAACACTCCCTTTTTGCAGATCTAGCCCAGCTGTTCATACAAAAATAAAAAACTTCGTAATCAGTTAAACACTTCAGGTTATGGGATTGCCACACAGGTCCTAAGGCAGGGGCAGAATCTGCTAATCCAAACTGGTGTTGTTTCTTAATCCCGAGACCAGGATTTTGTTTTTCTTGCCACGTTCACTGTAAAACTAATTAACAAATTATAGCCTATCATGTTCACTGAATGAGATCTCCCAAGACCTTGGGAGAAAGTGACATTACAATTCTGAGAATAAACTAAATCAGAGCAGGCTGCAAATTTGTCTCGAAAGCAGTCTCAGCTCCTCAAAGCTGATAAGGAATAAAAGAGGCAGCCTTTGCCTGGAAAGCAGTTTGCGTTGTTCTGAGAAGTGATTTTTAGAAGTTTAGCTAATGAGTGTCAAGCAATCGTGCTGCTAGAGGACACCAACTCAACTGTCTACTTTTTCCACTACCGCAGAAACTGGAGACAACGATCCCTACTGTTTGAGTGTACTTGAGAGGGGCGAGATTTTTATTGCCTCGTAACGTTTAATTTTAGGTGGGAAATAGTCCTTTGGAGGACAGTTTTCTGCTGTCGATGGGAAGAGGCCATTGCAGATGGGCCTAGTATGCCCTCTATTCATGTTCCAGGGCCACTGCAAGATTTCTTAGTGTTGTCTTTAAACAGTGGCTATTATAAAGGGGAAATTACAACATTTGATTAAAAAGTGTGGGGTGCTAGTCCCACCTGCAGAAAAGCAAATCGCTATGTGCAAGGACTGTTACAGAAAAGATTTCCTTGCTCTCCCCCAAATTACGTACGCCTATTAAAAATACTTCATTTCATTCCCATTTTCAAGTTTCAGTCAAGCAAAAGACTTAGTCCTCATTCCAGGTGATGGAAGGTTTCCACGACTGGCCTGGCAGGATTTTAACTTTTATGGATTCTTCAGCATCTGGTCTGTGCTAACAGAACTGCTCTTGGGAATGCCTAACGCTGCACATTTGTGCTGCTCGTGAGTAACTGAAGACCCAGTAAAGGACCTGAACCTACTTCCAGGGAAAAGCACACCACCATCCCTGACTCTGGCAGTCTTTTTTTTTTTTGCATTCTCCTAGCAAAACACTTCTACTGCATGAGTCAGTATTTCAACAAGTACCGTGTATGGAAACCATGCTGTCTTCTGAACGCTTTTTTTTTTTTCTTCTTTAAAACAGGTTAATTGCTCATAAAAACTTTGGGAATAGGCTGTGAGCTTACCAAAGTAACTGAACTGTGATGATGAAGGTGGTATTAAAAATGTTCAGGATCCTGTATGTGCATAAATACACAAAATGGATGAAAATGACATTGCAAGAACTGCAGAAAAGCATGGCAAGAGAAAGGAAAAAAGCCACATGACCATTTTTGCTAATTTAATTCTGAAGCCTTACATGTACTTTTCATCTTAATATTTTTCCTTAAAATACTTAAAACCTCAAATACCTCATTCCAGTGCGACATCCAGCTGTCTCAGTTTCAGTCTAAGGCAATTATTGTTTTTCCTGTTCTCTACATGCATCCCTGGCTCACTGTTGCTGAAATTCTATTAGTTATGAACTGTAAATCTAAGTATGAAACTGGTTATTGTAAGAGTATATATTTCAAATGCATATCCCATCCCTATCAGCCTTACAAACTTCTTCCTACTACTAGTCAGCATAAACTTACTACATGCTAAAGTGGGACTCTAAAGCTAGCATGTATTTTCCCCGATGGGTGCTATTTTTATTCTCATGTGCTTTTCAGTCCCTGAAATCTGACAGGAATTCCCATTCCCTTTGCAAGAGTGTGTGGAATCCTGCAGGAGAAGCTCACGTAATCACTGACTCTTAACTGAATGGCACAGCATAAATCCTAGTTGTTCTTGGAAGAATGACTGTTAGGGTTGGGTTTAAGTGGTATCTTCAAGATTGGCAATTCGTTGATTTCAAAGCGGTAACGATAATTTCCTTATCCCTTAAACTGTTGTCATTTGAGCACGAGTCTTTACTATCCTGTGACCAGAAAACTATCAGTGTTATACAATTATATCCACCTCTGTAAAAAATATGCACATACAGTATCATCTACCTTATTCTATGTGCTCTCTAAACATTTGGGGTTTTTTAAACATCTACTGATGGAGTCGCAGAAGGAGCTCGTAAAAACAAGGAAGATGAAAGGAAAAGGAACGCAGCTGCTAAGTTTTCCCCCCTGTGGATGCCATGTCTCAGTTAGCTATGAAATAAAACTTCACCTTTCTTAGCTGATACATCAGCGAGTTCCTCCTGGAGGGACAACAGGCACAAACACTGCAGCAATGTAATCTGCTGTTTATTCTCAGTACGTGCGTGACTCTTCTCATCTCCCTGGAACCACCAAGAACTGACAAGGTTCCTAGGAGAATTCTGGCAGAAATGTTTTCAAAAACATCGACCGTGATGCCAGTGGCTGCTGCTGTGCGGGAAGCCAGCTGTTCGTGTTACAGGGGGACAAGAGGACACGCAGGCGTGCGCATACTTATTTATACTCATGCTATTTGTAATGAAGGCCATTCTGCAGAAGAGATGGTGATTGTCTTAAAGCTTCTAATGACTTAGCTTGAATGTAGTCTCTGCTGATGGTCAAAAAGAATTAAGCAGAATAAAAATGGAGGAGACCTTGATTTCCACGCTATGCTTTTACTGTAAGCACAAAGACTCTGGAAGTACAGTTATATCGCTAATTAAAGAGGAACTGCTTTTTTGTTGTTTTTCTCCTTGCATTTCTTGAAAATGATTGAAATAAGAGTTCCCCCTGCTGGTAACTGGATGAGTCATAAATGGACTCGAGGTTGGGACTCTGGAGGCAACAAAAAGTAGAAGAGAGGAAGATGGAATCTCTTCGTAATTTCTCAGTCTGACCTTCATGTTTTGCACTTGCAGGGCTTTGTCTAAGGCACTTAATAAATTAATCTCCTACTCAACTGATTTCCCTTCCTCTTCTACTCAGAAAAAGACCAGTCACATCTGCTAAGGAAGGAGCAAACCACAAGCATTCCCTTTAGTAACTCTTGGCAAGTCAGCCCAAACTCAAAACATTACACAGCTTTGAACACAAAGCACCTACCATCTTGACTGCAAAGGGTGACGTTTTACGCTTTGCAAAAACTTTTCATTTTGGAAAATATGTCATTACACAAACCTATTGCTTGCTTACAGCTGGGGAAAGACAGATCAAGCACACAGGACTAAAAAGAACAAGGTAGTCTTTTTTATTTAACTAGGTTTGCACCCTTCTAATAAACTGGAGAGTGTCTAAAAAAAGCAGAGAGAGACAAACCGAGTCATAGCAGAACTGGCGAAGCCCAGATTGTTGGTAGAGAACCTGGGCACTGCGCTTTAACTCCCTGAAACCTCTAAACTGCTTATAGGTGCACACGCTACCACAGGCGGCTTCCTTCTTTGAATAAGCAAAATAGAACTTGCCAGCAGTAGTTAACGATTCCTTTGCACAGCCATACCCTAGATGTTACGCGGTATCTAGATAAACCCGAGTAAGTTCTGTCAACACTTTGTACATTGCTAATCTCTTACTTGAAGACAGAAAGCCTTTCCTGACACCTCACCAGAAATTCAAGCATTGCCTCTGAAGACACTTGCGCTGTTTATAAAAAAAGAAGAAAGCCAAAAAACTATTAAACACATTTATCCCTCTGCAAAAGGCGCTTCGAAGAGGAGCTACCATTTCTAACAGGAAAAAGTAACGCGGAGGATGAAAACTTTATTGGATCCTAACCCAGTTCCTTTGGAGTTTACCTGTCTTTAAATAAAGAGACAGCTGAACTCAACCAGGAACATACACCAAAAGTCACCAGGCAGGCTTCTCGAAACGTGGTAACCAGTCTGTCACTGGGGAGAGGCATTACAGCAATCCTCCTGGCAGCTCAAAGCTGGGGACCTGTTTTGTGGCAGCGTTGTTAAAACTGTCCAAGAAGAAAAGCCAGCGCTGATTTGAAAATAGCCTCTTGAATTGCTTTTGTAGCCTCCTCTGGGATCTCGCAGTACGTGAGGTCTGGAGAGAAGACAGCAGGCTGTCCAAGGAAATCCAAAGGATTCAGACTTAAGGTAGGTACAAGAGCTGCCTTTGTTTTAAGAAATTCTGATTGACTAAGAGTTGGAGGTGCAGCAAAAACCAAGCTGGAGCAACACCAGGAACAGGCTTTAGAGCTAAAGTGGGTCAAGGGAGCCTGCAGCAATCGGGAGAGAGAAAATCTCCTTTATTTTCTTTCTTCTTGGCAGACTGATCTTTAAATCTGTGCTCTGAATACAGACAAGTCGAAGATATTGGTAAAGACAGATCCTGGCTTAGAAAATAGACCCTAGGAAGCTCCCAGCTTTCTTCTTTCTGCCGGTCGTCTAGGCTGCTGCAGCGTGGGGAAGGGGACAGACCTGTGGGTTTGAGCAAAATTTCCCTTGAAACTACGGCGGCTTCTTTTCAACGGTTAAGGAAAAAATTAACAATGAAGTCTTTCTTTCATTTTTAAGACGCTGTCTCTCCTAGAGCTACACCTAGACTCAGGGCAAAAGGGGGAGAAGAGTTCAGGAAGAGCAGTCTTCCTAGCATGTACACAAACGAGGCAATTTGGCTTGAGATGCCGTAAATAAAAAGGAGATTGCCGATAACACACTGACAGCGCAGCGGAGAAAGGCTGCTGCTATCTCAGTCCCTCAATTTCTGATGATATACTTTCTCAAGAGCTTTAGTCAGTATAGAATTACCACTAATAAGCAATTCTGCTTCTGTGGAGTCAAAATAAGAGTGATTGCCCTTTGATTTGTAGCACACGCTCTAGAGTAGAGTAGTGGTTTGTAACAGCAATGACTCAAATATCCTTAACAGGCGACACGTTTGAACAGAAATTCCAAGATTATCACGAGGAAGTGGATGGCTGAGGGAGGAAGTGATTTATAATGCATTTTTCAGGCGTTTGTATTTGCACAGTGACAGGGGAGCTGGGTCTATTCCTACGTTAGATTACTAATAGAAGGGAAAACAAGTCTGCAAAACTAATAGAATTGAGAGCTCGCCTAGAATCTTTTTGCTGCTTTTGGTTGCCGAGTTTGAGAATCGGTTAAATTTAAGATAGTGCCGAGAGAGAGGAGCGCAAGTCCTATAAACACAGAGGAAAGATAGTTTTATGATTAAGACGCACAAAAGAATTAATTCTTATCTCTGCCACCGTGTTCATGAACAAGTCATGCGATTTCTCTTCTCCCTTTTATAAAATGGAAGTAACATTTATTACCTTAGAGACACCGGGAGGCATAACTGTCTTCAGGGAAGCCAGAATCCCCACCGTACAGTAGCAGATGCCAGCACATGGTGTTCATCAGGAATATTCATGGAGTTAAGCCACAGAAGCTTTTACTTCAGGATTCTCTACTACTGAGAACATGTTTGTTTGCTACTTATCACTTGACCTTTAAGACAACGTAAGTTAGCAAAGAGGTGAAGCTGACAGAGAAAAACCCTTTAATAGCCTAGGGTTTAATTTTGCAAGAAACGTGTTGTTTGAGTAGAACTAAGACAGATTAAATGAAAACCAAATTTGAGGCCACAAAAGTTGTAAGAAACACTGGAGGGGTGGGGGAAGCAGGGGCTGGGGAGAGAGAGAGAGAGAGAGAGAGACTTACAACAGCCGCTCAGGAAAGAGATCAAGATCCCATCTGGAGGGGCAAAAGGCCAAAGCCACAGAACAGATGGAGACCAAGCGACAGCTGGTAGAAACATGCTTTCATGTGTAAAGTTTGCTCTTTGGAGAATTTTGCTCTCCAACTCTGAAGGCATCATTATGATAACAACTCCTCCCCACGCAACACTGGGGAGCTAGCCTGTGCTCAGGAGCGGGTGTCGGAAAGCTCGCCGTGAGGGTGGTTAATTAACGAGGGCCCTTGCAACATTTAGACGCCGCTGTCGCACAACCTTGGCGTGGTTTTAGCGGCAGAGGGTCCTGTTCCTTCACCAGCAAGGGGGGGATGAGAAGAATTAATTTGGGCCCCGCTCGTTAAACAGGTTTCCTGTAAACTTTTACACGTGCCAAGAGTTGCTTCTGTTCTAGAAGGGCTCGGACGAAGGATATAATGCATCTCCATGTTTACGCATATTATTTTAATGGAAGAGCATCCAACCGGCTGCTCCACCAACTCAGTTACGGAAAAAAAATCATACAGTCAATCAGAAGAGGGGGTTGTCTTCAACACGGGCCTTTAATCCAGGGATCTTTCCAGGCCACACCAAAGAACTAACGGAATTCTACGACTAGCCCTCTCCTGGGAGAGAGGTGTGCTGTTTCTCCCCAAGATCCGCCAACGATACTGAAATTAAAGTTCTGGAAAAGTGGCCATTGTCTCTTTTTCTTTAATAAAGATATGAAGTTTTTTTCCTGTTAAGGCAAGAATTTCATCCTGCTGCTAGGATCTAGTAATGCAGCTTTCATTACGGCAGGGGGGGCGGGGGGAAGCTTAATTACAGTTAAAACTAAAGTATTACACTTTTAAGACAATTTAGAATTAAAAAACTATAACACAAAAAATCCAAACGCTCCCCTTCTGATTACCTATCCTGAGTCCAGTTTCATAACAGATTTTGAGGTACAAGACAATAAATTAAAAGTTCATTCCAGCCGCAGAGATCAACCATTTCCTCAATGCGATGTCTTCTTTACTCCCTTTCCAAATTTGGCATCAAGTCCAAGGCCTGCGAAGAGATAAAAATAATCCATGCGCATAGAAAATCGCTTCGCATTCTTCGAAGAAATACAACACAAGGAACTTTGTGAAAAATCAGCTTAACGGCACCAACTTACTAACGGTCACTCAGAGGCAGTGACTTACCCGGTGTGCGCGGGGGGGGAAGAGACCAAAGAGATCCGCTAGAATTCACGTTCCTCTCTTCCTGCACTGGCGAGGCTACTAACACGCTCTTCCACGGAGGGTGTTTTAATACAATTAGGGGTTTTTTTTGACCAGCATCTTTTGTTAGCTCGCCCCTCGCTATACATCATCTCCGTTTAAGTTAATAGGGGAGAGACCTCAGGCGTTTGCTTCCCAGACTTACCCAGGAACACCAGGACCGTCCCCACCCACTGCATCGTACTGATGGGATTGGCAAACAGAATGACGGAGGCTAAAATGGTGAAGAACTTGCGGGTTGTGGTGATGATGGAACAGGTCAGAGGTCCGAAGTATACCACAGTCATGAAAATAAAACTCTGTCAAAAACAAATAGATGCCTTTTGTCACTCTGACTGGAAAAACACGGATCGTATTTTCAGATGAAAAGCCATCGAGCCAGAGCCGAAAGAATCTTATTTCAAATCCTGACTGTTTGCATACAAACGCCAACCAGTTTTACTCTGAAGGTAGCCTGTACAGAAAGCAACAACCAAAGCAACGGAAAGCCAGGCGGCCTTACTTTGCCGGGCAAACATCCCAGCGAAGACCGCAGAACAAGGGAAGCGTATTTACCTGACCCAGCGCACTCGTCAGGCCGAACAGCAGGATATTGTAAATGACGCTGGGGTAGCGTTCCGTAAAACTCAAGAACTCCCAGAGCTCTCCAGTGAACAATATCCCTGGAAGACAGATCAAGATGAGAAGCATGAATTAGGAGCCCAGAGGCAGCCCGAGCAGCCACTGCCTACGCAGTACGAGTTCAGTTTACGCTCATAACCCAAACAGGAGCTACGAAAAGCAAAGACTGAATTCCACACAGCGGAAAACAAAGACAACAGGAGAAAAAGCGATCGCCTTCCTAGTTAATTAATGAAAGGAGCAATCGTTAACTGCAGATCCAATTCTGAGAAAACAGCCCCTAGCAATTAATTAGAAGCGCTACTCCCTAATTGGAGCAGAAAGCTACGCTGATACGGTCTGCTCCTCTGCCGGCGCACGAGAGCCCTCGGGTAGAAACCCGGGCAGTTGGGGCTGGAGCAGGGAGCTGGCCTGCAGGGAGGACTTCTCAGAAGCCAACAAGCGTCGGGCGGCTACGCTCTGCGTGAGGCGGTGTCCTCTAGCGGGCACGAGAAGAGCTACGCTGACCAACCCCCGCTTTTTATACGCAAACAAACAAAACCCAACCCAAAACATAAAGTTATTTGCAAAAAAGTGTTCTAGGCCCTTTTTTGGAGCGGGACACGATGTCTCTTCCCACGGGGTGTCCCAGGGCAGTCTCTGGGCGTGGTGGCTGTGGTTTTTGCAGCGTGTTCTTTACCAGCCCCCAGGAACAAG